GAGTGACGTGGCGGTTAAATTTTCCACCAAGTTGCACGGATATATTTACAACGTCAGGACGAGTTCGAACACGGTCGCTTTTTCATTCTGGGCTCCCTTACACTGAACAACTTGCTAGACACTCTGATGGTAAAAAAGGGTCTTCTGTTGTATAATTGGCGGAAGAGATATATAGAGTTATAAATTAAGCCGACTGTTCAACTTAGGTTCCTGAGACTCTGAGTGGAAATTATATTTCAATAAATATTAGCAAAAATGTAGATAGTGTTTTAACGTCCAAATTGCACATTATAAGATTCTTTGTTGAATATTCTGACAAAAGTTCTTATCTCCCCCTATATATCTCAAATTACTGTATTCAAATTTTAAAACATGCAAACTTTAATCCAATCTGTTCGCTTTTATGATCCCATTACAATATCTTCAATTTTTATTCCAGTTTTAAGTATATTCTTTTGATCAATTTGATATCTTTATGGAATAACAGACATATTGTGAAGTTGAAGTGTGATGAAGTTATTTATAAATACAGACTAGAATGCTGCACAGAACGCATTAAAACCCTTTAGGTGCAGGGACCTTGAATCTAAAGCTATTCGCCTACGCCTGTAATAATTTTGATCTTGTTTGTCAATGCCTACGAGTGTTTAACACAAGTCTAACAAATTTTTAGAATAAATTTCCTTAGGCATATTTGTAATAGTAAAGAAATTGCAATTTGATTAGAAAATATTATTGGAAAACGCTATTTCTAAATGCTGATAAATGTCAATTTCATGTCAGATTTCAATTTCGAGTAGATTATGAATATTCACGTATTTATAGAACAAATGTTCAAAGTACACATATTATGTAAAATGTACAAATCATCCATTAAAGACGAAACAAATTTTCATCTAAATCCTATCTCTTTGTGTTCATCTCAACACAAATTTGCATAAATATCTTCCATTGAGGTATCAATGTAATAGCGAATATCTCTACATAATGTTGTTTTAATGTTAGGAAATCCTGATTTACGATTGATATAAAAACAATTGTTACTAGACTAACGCAATCCATTTCAGGGGATCGTCATAAGCGGATCACAGAGAGAGGAATTGAGAATTCATTAAGATTTAATCGGAATGACGTGATTCGATTATTCCATTTATACTATCGTGATATAATTATCGAAATAGTGAATGTCTATATTTGAGCACTGCTGCTTACACTGCAGATAACAGAAACTACGATAATACACACTGTCTATGTTATATTATTTTGAGCCTGCGTTTTCCAACGCCGCGTTAGGGAGATAAAGATTAATTTATGCGCGCATTGAATGGTATTTTTCGCATCAAAGTTGTTATTCTACAAAAGAATGACAATTCTTTAGAATCATTCATATTTTTGATTAAATATTAAGTCATCCTAAATATATACAAATACGCAATAATTAGAAATTAAATTGTTTTCACTGGGGACGTTTAATCATTATAATGGCAGCGATGATGTCACGCCAAGCATTAACGCTGCAATGATCTAATGAACACATCAAGTGCGGCTTCTAATCATGTTAGCTTCTCGTAAGAAACTTCACTACGCATTTTACTACATTGTTCTATCTGATTCTTTGCTTCCTAACCAAATTACGCACTGAATTTCAGTTCGAAAGAAATCTTCAACTGAAGAGTTTGCAGCAATAAATTAACTCTAACGTTTACATTATATTTATTGGAATAGAAAGAAGATAAAATATAATTCATATATAAAAATGTAAAAGTTTATTAGTACGAATACCAGTATGTCTGTAAAAGTACTTGATTTATTTAAATTACTACTACAAAGTAAATTCCTTTAATTATAATTGGGGTTAGGTTACTTAAAAACAACTTGAAATTTAGAAAATGTTCTTTCAAATTTAGATCTTCTTAATAATCAACAAATGGATGAATAATTAAATTGGTTCCATTAAAAGGAAATTAATTTATAAGACAGCGACGTATAGATCTTCAGATGAGAGACTAATGAAACATATAATGGAACTTAGCGCCCTCTAAGAATTCGCAACTAGGAGGGAAGTCTTCTGCTGAGAAGTTGAGAATCAGCTGATTGGTCACCAGAGCGTCAGCTGATTTTGACAGCACAGTCGACCTTGTGCGCATCCTAGCGCGTCGCGCGCCCTGAACCAATTCAAATATACGATTTATGGCGACCACGCATGCGCATTGCGCATACGCGCTCCCTGTTTGCATTAATAACATCCAAAAATCTTTTCGATATTTCCAGCCCACTAACGGAATCGTTATTTTCATTCGAATATAGGAACCTTCATAACGTTTCTATTTTGTAGATATTTAATTTAGGAAATACCTTTTGAATAAATAAGTTGAAAGATGGTTCAACTACAAAGAAATTCATTGAAGACTTTATCTTCAGAGATGCTTCACTATTATGATGACATGCGTACTTGCGCATTGTTCGGCTTGTCAGAGGATCAGCCAGAGCTTGCCAGAGGATCAATAATTCATTTCTCATCTGTCACGCCCCTATTTGGTGGACTCGCGATATTAGTAGAGGCGCACCACAATAAACCGTGTTAAATTGCTGAACTTGGAGCCAATCGTGTCATTAAGCACCTGAGTAATTCTTAACTTTCGTTATCTATGCATAGCTGATATCGATATAGAATCTGATTGACAGTGTAAATATTTAAACTGCTTTCATAATCCGTAGTAGCAAATATTCTTTGGTTATGACAGTCTTTATGACTTTCAATCCATAAATTGTTGAGTGCGTTATTATAAGATCCCATAAATATCAATGCAGACTTTGTATCTGATGTTTTCCAGTTAAAGTACAATTTTATGATCGTTTTTATTGTTATTTCACTTTATTGTCCCTTCATAAAATCATTATAGAGGACCTGCAGGTAACTCAATGGGCTGCTAACGCCCTCAGAAAACTGAGATACCACCAGCTGTGTTCACTCGCTTCATTACCCACCGAGTGAACGCAGAGTGGCTCCCTGTTCTCCGAGAGCCCGTTCACCATTTCCGTTTCGCTTTTACCGACCGAACGGATTGGATGATAATCAGGTCTTTCCACGGTTCTTCTTTGGTTGATGGCTTTTAAAAAGAGGGACCCTGAGGACCCTCATTGCGCTTTCATTGATTATTGATTCAATGTTATTGCCGCATTCATTATTAATCCAACGTTTAGATATTAAAATTTACCATTTTGCTGGTGAATAATTTCCTTGTTTCATAAACTTTATTTCTCCCTGAATAGTCATTAAAGATATGAAAAACTACATATCTGATGTAACGTGAGACACACATGCCGTTCAATAATTGAATTTCTGAAAGTCCCGGAAGATTCGAAAATAGCTATCGAACATGATAAAATCTGGTAATAAAAAGGTAATGGAAACATGTATGTGAAGATAGCAAGAAAACCAATGAACTACGAATCATAACAAGACTGATAACTGAATATGACATTATTCATATCGACTGGAAGTAAATTTTTTTTTAATGTTTAATGAACTGTGAACTGTCGCATAATGCTCAACTTATACTAAGGTACCACTGAAGAAGAAAAACTTATTATTCAAACACAAGATGATTGATCACTCTACCTTAATATATGTATGTACACATAACTGACAATTATTCATTTTGTTTTTTTGTATGATAATTAATCTTTAAAACAAAGTATAAGAAAAAGTAACGTAAATAATGGGAATGGAAAAGTACGGGATCCGGAATAAATATAATATACATGTATAATTAATGAAACAAAACAATTACATAAGCTCTACGAACAATTTAAAATCCCTTTACGTATAGCACCGAGTTTACTTATCTTATCGAGCGTCGGCCACGCTGTGTTCTCCTATCTTCGGCGCTATATGCGAATTCAAACGTGTACACAAAGCCGGATAGAGTTCGCGCGCGCAGTTTACGACGAGACCGGCAACGATCAGACATCAAAGCGGCTTCTGCTATATACACTGTACGTGACGGTAGTCGAGTTTCAAGGTTAAACGATAAGTCGTTCAAAACAGAGTTATCACGGGGTCTTTTCCGATAGAATAACTTCGTCCTATTCTAACTAATCACTGGGAGTTTTTGTTATTCATAAAATATAACTAGAAAGTTAACCATATAATTTATATAAATCTAATTTGAAAGTTATATTCACAAAATTCCAAGAAACATATATTTTCATTATCGCAATATCATATTTATTATAGAATTTTTTACCAAGCTACTAACGTCGGTAGCGTTTACATTTTTATCATACGTTAGTATATATTACGCAAATTGGTTAAGAAATAAATTAATTGTTTAACACCACACAAATGTTAATGCGTTTATTTCTTTTCATTTTTCGTACTACCGAAGAACACTTAATGGGTTCTTTTTGAAGGTTATTAAAACTCTCACGGAACTTCATTGAGCACTGGAAGCGAGCCAATCAGAGATCACAGTAGAAAGAGGGCGCGTTTACGCACGTCGTCGACGCGTGCGAATGACGTCACAATGTGACGTTGCGTGCGTGCACGCACGATACGCCAAACGATTACGGTGGATCGTAACAGAATAAAATAGTGATACAGACGTGACGTGTTTCAGATATATCTATTTTTTTCACAATCTTTTTGTATGGTTTTTTCGAAAGTTTTTGAAATTTCTAATTTAACATTTTTTATTAAAATACATCTCTCACCTCTACATGATTCGAAATGGGTGTTATATTTCAATAGATAGTATAAAAACATAGGTAGTTTCTAGATACTCGGTTCTAATGTTAAATACAATTTTATTACTTTTTTATGTCTAAGATAATGGAATATATATCTACTACTATCTGGAGAAATATGTGAAGAAAAAATTCTCAGTCCATTCTTCTGACATTTAAAAATCTAACGTTTCAAAATGTTTGACATTTTATTCTGCTAAAAGATCCACCATGATTTTACTGTAAAAAGCTAAATATAAAAAATCACTTACAGTCTACTGCTAGGTTCGTTGCTTGCCTCGTCACCTTCGATTCGATAAACCATACCGGACATCACGTATTCAAAACTATCTGCTCTGGAGCCGCCTTCCTGTTCCGTCGCATTCCACTCCCCTCCATCGGGATAACCATCCTCCCTCAAGGTCGTTGCAAGAACCAAACGAAATTTATCACCTGAAAAAAGGAATCAGAATATTCTAATAAACTATACCATTTGAAAAATAGTTTTACGAATAACATATGTAACCATTTCAAGAGGCTTTTTGCCTTTATCTAAATATTGACGCAGCAAAAATCCGCAACGTCGAAACACGGAAATTGATACCTAATAATAAACCTCAAGGTGACTGCATTGAAAATACGACTGGGAGGGCGTTGCAGACGTTCGTTTCGCCACGTTTCAAACGAAATACATACATGGTTGATCGGATTTAAACCAATAGGACCTGTCCGTCTTCATACCGCTACTTTCGCGGAACTGACTATGGACACATACGTGTGTGCACACGATAAAGATACGAGAAAACCGATTGACGTTTTCCCCTCTTATTGCATCATACATCGCACGTTACAAACGTGACACGACACGTTATCGCACATTTGGAAGGAAACACGAAAACTTCATACAACATATGTCATATCGATTATACGCGTCCTAACGATGATTATGCAAGAGGTGGATAGAGTAGCAAAAGCTTCAGAAATTACCGCAACGAAATAGGTCCTAAATTAGCGGAAGTGAGGGTAATCGAACAATAGCGGGAGAATATTTCGAAAATATAGTTATTGTTAGTATTATGTAAATATTCATTTATATTATATAAATATCAAAGAATTTTTCATGTTGAAATTGTTATAATAAAAAGGAATATTAATATATTGTAACAAGATAGAATAAGATATTTCACAAAAGGAAACAATCCTTAAAGAATATATGTAAGTATAATGAGTATTCGGAATGGATCGTTGAATAATCACATAATAGGGAAGGAAAGGGGTGAAAGATGAAAAGTAGGGAGATCGAAAGGAAGGGATGCATGGGGAGAGGTTAACCTATACAGGGAATAGGACTACTAGCGACATAGAAAACTGGGGCACTAAATGAAAAGGACAAAGTTGTCAACATAATTACATTATCAGTGGAATTACATTAAACACCTAGTTGAATGAAACATACCACTTCTCTATTACACCTATTCGATTAAATAGAAAGCGCCGCGAAGCTCGCACGTAAGAATCCCAGAGAACAAGGGTCAAGGTTAGAATTCTATACTATGTCGATGATAGATATAGTATGGTAATCGATATTACCGGCCGTGGCAATGTCGAGGAGGACACAAAGAAACGACGAATGAAAACGGAGTTAGAAAAATCTACATAACCAATTGATCATGTTACGAGATGTCTGTGGGGTCAGGCTTACATCACGATAATGGTATAACGATTATAGATTATCTAGTTGAGCGATACAGGACCATATTATCAACCCCAGCCATATTACAACCAATGCGAACCGAGCGAAGGATATGGGCTCGCGTGATTTACAGCATTAACCTTGACACTGACAGTAACGCGTATCGCTAATTCCCTTGCACCAAAGACGCATATTAATACTTTAAACTAAATTTAGGCGTTCCTAGAACACGGTTGTTTTCGAAAGCGATTTACAAAACTGCACTGCGTTATAAATATTTGAAACGTCAATACGGTATATATACGATAAAATATGGTAGACAAAATTAGCGGTATTATATTACAATCCGATATTACTAAATGCTTAAATAAAGCTTTATTTTAGATTAAAAACAACGAAAGACATTTTGAAAGATAATAATACGACATAACGCATTCAGCAACATCGACCACCCCCGCGTACGAAAGCTTTAACGTGTTCCAGGGTCTATCGAAAACCGCCATCTTGTCTCACGACATTAAGCACAGTGGAGAGGAAGAGAGAATTCAACGATAGTTTATATCCATTCTTGATATGATCGCGCATCCGCATTTTCCGCACAGGGTAACTTTCGTTCTCTATTTCAATATTCACGCACCTGCATCATAATCTTGCCTACAGCTCAAGGCGATTGCCAGCACACTGCTACAACTGCATTCCTCGGGTAATCACATATAACGTTTACATTATGACGATTTGCAGAGCCCCATCCCTTTTCCATTGCCTTCGCAGTCGACATGCTCCTTCTCACTGCGTAATCCGTAACACACCTTAATTTCATGTAATTCAGCATGTCCGTACGTAATGTAATATAGGTTAGTCGCACGGTGCGAAACGAACTGCGTGCACACAATGAAGACGGTGGCACGTAGCGCTTGCCGGCTACGAAGTAACCGGCGGAAAAAGCGCGCGCGATACGCGACCAAGGAGGTGAACGCGAATACACGCTCGATGAAACGACAGATAGCGATGACGACGACGACGACAACGAAGATAACGACGACGACCACGAAAACGACGACAATAACGACCACGACGACAACGACGACAATGACAACAACAACGACGACGACGACGACGACGACGAGTGATACCACCAAAAGCAAGGCAGCACACGATCAGAGAAGAGAGTACAGACGAACACACACACAAACCGCTTCTTCTCTCGGCGAACGAGTATCGCGACCGACACGGCTACGAGTCGTGGACGTTTTGACCTTGGCATTGAACTTATGGGAGCTGCTGGCTGAAGCGGGAGAGAGGAGTGGAATACGAGCGGCGGGGAACAAAGTGGGGAGTAGAATGTGGTACGGGCAAAGCGGGGCGCATGGGAGGCAGATTGCGTCATCTCGCGCAAGCCTGTGCGCCGCGCGTCAATACAGCGGGACTGCCTGGCCCTATGGACTAACCTTCGTTCCCCTTCCAACACAATTCCACGCGCTCTATTCTGCACGATCGACAAGCTCCTTCCTGCAAAATCCATCCCGCCTCTTTGCTCCTCGCCAGCTGTAAACCAACGATCTCCATTCCTTTTTTACTATGTAGATTTCGATTATGCTACAGATTACGTTATATCTACAAGACTTATTTTTACACGAATAAAACTTCTTAGTTATATTATAATACGAACTTCTAGAATTAGTATGTATGTATTTAATATATATTTATGACTTCATTTTGTTGTTTCTGCAATACTACAACATAGTAGGTAATATAATAAAAGAGATAAATTGAGCTATACAACACTGAAGTTGATCGAGGGTTACAAGAAAGACGTAGAAGGAAACACCATTCTCAGAGTAGCAACAAGGAAACAGGATATGAATCTGTAAACATAGTGAACAGGCAGGGGTGGATCGACGATGCGGTGCACCCCACCTCTTTCTCCCTTCCTTGCTACCGGTGGGTGTGACGCACCCACTCCCTCTGCAACGCCCGAATCAACGAGATACATCCAGAACTGTCCGTGAGCCGAGTCAAAATGACGATATTTGGAGGGAGGAGGGGTTAGAGGTTTGCTGCAGCGTGACGTGGCCTTGGGCAGTTACGAATCTAATATACATTATATTACACGTGCTGTTTTTTTCATCAGACTGATTCGTCTCGAATCGAAAACAAATTTAAGTCGAATTTGGAAATGTCCAGAAATTTTCTAATAACTTGATTCTCATTGCATACATCGAATATAATATATACAACGTATTTCCGTAGTTACCAAATACTTTTTCCTCCTTACTTCCTCTTCCACTAATGACACAGTTGTTACGCGAATGAACGGCAGTAGTAAGAACACTAACCAAGCGGACGACCTTTAGCATCAACTTACACGTGGAGATATAGACGTCGCGTCGCTTTGCACGTCCGCGTCGCCGTAAGCTCCAGCAGCTTTTCAAAGACACGGAATTCATAAAGGAGCGACGTTGAAGAAACTAAAACTAAATGACGATAGAGACGTGTTTCTTTAAAAAAAAAAAAAAAAAAAAAAAAAAAAA